GTCATGTTTTGGAATACGACACGCCATACAACTTGGTCCAGGATGACAATTCGTCTTTCCGTGACTTGTGCAGAAGAAGTGGTGAGGAAGCTATGTTGCTGCGAATGGCAGAGCAATCGGAGAAGAATAGGGCAACTTAGGTTATGAAGCGTTTCGATAGTAGGATAACTCGGTGTAAAAAAAGACATAGAGCATATAACCATTATATTCCCGTGTTTTGGTCGGATCCCAGAAGGATGCAACTACTATAGATTACCCTTGAGCGCACTCATCAACTGGTCTGCACCACCATGAGCTTCCTCCGGCTTGTCCCCCCAATGTCTCGGGACGCCGCAGTATTCAAGCACACCCATAATACCCTGAGAATGTCCATCAGCGTTCTCCTTCAAGTCGTCCGACGTAATCTTCTCGAGCGCTTCCAACTCTGCTGGAGATTTGACGAGAAGCATGCCGGCATATCCGAGGGAGTTTACTTCCAGAGGTGATGGATCCTTGCATTCTGTATCCGCATGCAGGCTTTGCGGCAGTGGGAACGACGGGTGTGATCGCGGGATGAGATGCATGTGGTCACTGTTGGAGTCGAACAGGATCAGCGGCGATACCTTATATGATCAGAAAGGGCAACTTACAGCGTGATAAGCAAATTCCATCCGCCATCCTGACTACCTTCATTCCTCCTCACAGCGTCAATCATATCATCCAGCAAACTCATCATCCCCTTTGCCAACACGCCCAACATGTACTCGTCCTCCTCTTCCGTCGGTGGGAAGCTCCTATCCTGCGCAGCCGGCAAAGGGTACACCAGGTGTAAATACGGCAAACTCGGGTGCGCGAATGCTTCTCCTTGACGACCAGGGGGTTTTACGCCTCGCATCCACGTTTCGATGGGAGCACCGAGCCTTTCGTGGACGGAGATGAGTTGAAGATGTCGCCATGATTGGGATGCACCTGCACCTGCGCCACCGTTGTAGAATGCGAGAAGACGCCGAGGGTCGCTAGGGTGTTGAGACGCGATGTACATCATGTTATATGCCTGAAGTAGCTCGTGAGGCGTTGGTGGAGAATTTTGCGGCTCTTCAACTATGAAACAGGCGATGTTAGTCACGACGAAGAGGTGATAGTGACGATGACTTACCTTTTGAAACCAGTAGAAAGTGTTCCGGGAGAACAGCATACTGTACACGATATCACTTGATCAGACCGATTTCTGCACACGGGTACAAACGATTCAAGCTCACTTTGTTCAACTATGTTCCGAGAAATAGGGGATATCAGTAACTGGGCCTGCTGCGAGCAATGTAAACGCCGACTTACCAGAACAACCATCCCGTCCTCACCTTCCAAACCCTCAAGCTCTCCTACGAATAAATCTTCTACGTAAGGCGGCTCGAAGGGCGAGCTCTTTTCCTTCTCTTCAGCGTTATCCTTTGTTGTCGTCGCTGTACCATCCGAGGTTGAGTTGGCTTGTTGAGCACGGACCTTTGCTTCTGCCTCTGCTTTGGCCTTGGATTTGTCCAGGAGAGCGGGACATATCCGGATTTGAAACTATGGATACAAGCAGACATTGAGAATTGACGATTCTTCAGACCACGTAAGAACGAAGCTTACTCGACGCTCGTTCTGCTCCACGTCCTTGACCTCGCTGTCGAAAAAGTACAATGCACCGGATTGACGAGCCTTGTTGAATTTTGGCGTCAAGTTTGAGATGGCTGACTTGACGGAGTTGTACATAGGTGACTTTTGTGAAGACATGATGTCTGTATATGTCGGACGATGGTAAACGGGAACTGTTTGTATAGGATATGTCGTCTTACATACAAGATGCATAATAATAGCTTAGTAGGGCCAGTCAACCCGATCGTTATTCGGAACGCGACATTCGGAAACAGAAAAGTTGGCTCTTTGTCGCACGTCATATGTATTTAGTGGTTGACTCGGTCTCGACTTTATTCTGCTGCTATATAGCTACAATCCACATAGTCTCTCCAACCATACGGTCAACCCAAGCACCGTATCAACCGAAATGTCATTCGAACGAGTCGAAATTCACAACTTTGCCGCCGGGCCGTCGCCTTTGCCGACCCCTGTTCTGAAGAAGGCCGCTGAAGGTCTGTTGAACTACAATGGAACCGGTATGGGAGTCTGCGAGTTGAGCCATCGTGGAAAGGAATTCAAGGCGATTGTCGAGGGTGCAGAGGGTGAGTTGTTCACTCAAATGGACCGATCCACTCGCCAGGACTTGCAGCTGATACCTGTTCTCCCGCTTCCCTTTGTCAGCCAATCTCAGAACACTTTTAGCAATTCCTGATACCCACGCCGTCTTCTTCACTCAAGGCGGTGGCACCCAACAATTCTCTTCGACCCTCCTCAACCTACTCTCGTCTCACCGGCTTCGAAGGGCGGAACTCGGCGAAAAGGAATTCGTCCCGCCAACGATCGACTATGTCGTCACAGGCTCCTGGTCATCCAAGGCTTCCGCCGAAGCCAAACGTCTAGTCGTCCCACCTGTCCCTGGAGCACAGCCATTCGCCAAGATCCATGTCGCCGCCACCACGAAACCAACGGGGTTCAACACCTTGCCCGCACGTGAGCAGTACGAGTTCTCCTTCAAGCCGGATGCCAAGGAGCAAGACTCGAATACCGCCTTTGTCTACTACTGCGAGAACGAAACGATCAACGGCGTAGAGTTTCCTGCCGATGCAGACGCCCAAGGAGCATTCCCGTTCGACTTGGTTCCAGCTCATGTTCCCATCGTTGCCGATTACTCTTCCTCGTTCATCTCGAGACCGATCCCTCATGTCGAGCGTCACGCCGTCATTTACGCCGGCGCACAGAAGAACTTGGGCCCGGCCGGTACTACAGTGGTCATTGTCCGAAAAGACTTGTTGGTGGATACGACCGAGGCGTCGCTTCTTGGCAACGTACCTGCTGTACCGATCGAGCTCGAGTACAAGACATTGGCGGACAACGGATCGCTTTACAATACGCCACCCGTTTTCGCCATCTACGTCTCGGCATTGGTTCTTGAATACCTTCTGCACGAAAAGGGCGGTATCAAGGGAGTCACAGCAACAAACGAACGCAAGGCCAAGAAATTGTACGAGGCGCTTGACAGGGCGGAAGAGAAGAACGTTCTCAAGGCAAAAGTCAAGCAGCTAGAGGCTCGAAGTTGGATGAACGTCACGTTCGAGGTCGTTTCCGTAGATGGAGAGGATCGAGAAAAGGAATTCCTAGCAGGGGCGGAAAAGAGGGGATTCCGTCAGATCAAGGGTCACAGGTCGATTGGAGGTACGTACTCTCTTTCAATCACGATATTGATAACAACCCCACTCATCCTCTTTTTCGGATATACAGGCATTAGAGCTTCGCTTTACAACGCCGTTACGGAGGAAAGCGTAGACGCTTTGGTCCAATATATTGACGAATTTGTAAAGGCTCATGTATAATGCAGGAATTGTCATTCAATAGATTTGGAAGGGTTGTGTCTTTCACGTGCCTAGTAGACTGCGCTAGGCAAAAACTCGACATGGCCATCTCGTGAAACAAGGACGTTACATCTACATCGACGCTTAGGTTGGCCCTGTTGAACTTGTTACTGACTAATCCTGTGCGGTGTATGGCGACATCAGTTTATAGAATGGGATTCCGCGAAATCCTGCAGCATCACGGTGTCAATCACCTTGTTGGTAGTTTTGTGCTTTTCGTGGATGACCTGTTGCGGTGATCAGTGCGAGGATGGCAAGCTGTAGATTATCGATGCTATGAGGACATGAGCAAGCGCATAGCAAAAGCAGGGGAAAACCAATGCTCAACGGAACACGACTTGAGCGTTACTGTCCGTTTAGATGATTTGCCGCACGTAAGTAGGGACAAGACGTCAGTGTGGCGCCACGTAGGGGCCAACGGTTACTGTGCTTATGAAATCTGAAAATCGTGACTAGACTGTCGCCACCTACTTGCCTGCATCCCCCTTCTGGTACATGTCTAACATACTCATCCCGCCGTTCACCATTCCTACGAGCGCCCATGTACATCATCGCACAGTTGGCGTGGCAATGCCACGATTGTCGATGGTCAGGGATATGCTACCAATGTAAGAGTCAGGATCTTTGATCGTTATTTTAGAAGAGTATGACGTGACCTCTCGATGCGCAACCAGGACACTCTGATGCCGGCGCTGCACACTTCCTCGCGTATCGAGAAACAGCATGAGCAGAAGGGAGGGCGATTTCAATACGTGGTCCAGTCGCACGGAATCATACACGCTTATTGCTTAAGATCCAACGCTGTGCTTGACGCTATGCAACACCTAAGAGACTTGAGGCACTACCTTTCCTCGGGACGCTCCCCACCTCCTTTCCGTGTATCCACACTGGTGTTCTCCTATCTGCGAGAGGCGGCACGTACGTCTTCGGTTGCAGGTGTCCTTGCCGACGGCTAAGGGCTCTGCTGCTGAGGATAGGTTGACAATAGGCATGGCAAATGAATTAGAAAGCGTACAATCCCCCATTACATGGATAAGCTTATAACTCAGGAACCGTAAGACAGAGGGAACAGAGCGAACGTTCTTGAGACGCATCATATGTAAGTGCTTGGAGCGCTTGAGTTTGGGTTTGACAGTTGCCTCATTACAACAGATATTACATTGCTACTGTCTCGCAGCCCGCGATGACATACAAAATTTCAGAGTGCATCTCGCAACTGTAAGAGGGATCGACGCGAATCGGCAGGCTGATGGCCTGAGCTTGGATGCGTATGTGATCCCTTTGGTTAGCACTGCTGTTTGCACTACTGAATCTTGCACCAACCTCCGCTTGGTCGTGGATCGCTACATCATTCAGACGCTAGGAAATATAGTGGCCTGCCGTAGTGCAAAAGAAATCAAGTCCCTATATCAACGGGGCTCATCTGGAAGACCCGACGCGTTTGCGCGCTGATGTATGGCTATGAAGGCAAACTCGCAAAAAGACTCCTAGAGAGCCTGGAATGATCAAAAAGATCTCTCTCACCGAGAATCGAACTCGGGGCTGATGCGTGTAGTGAATGACTGACAAGCATCGATGTTACCATTACACCATGAAAGACTTGGATGTTAGAAACCCATTCTCCACGAATATAAAGTAATCTTCATGGTCCCAGGGATCCCATGACCTCGCCCCGTCCCAGCAACCCCTTCCTGGCTATCACAAATCACAAGCAGATATCCTTGCAAACTGCATGCATGAAGCGCATGGAGACTCTCCAGCGTCACTCGACGCCTGAAATTTCCGTCCCAGCTTGCCTGAAGCCATTTTTACATGACACGCCGTGAAGACACCCACCCTTACTTAGCTACTTCCATCAAGACACCGGACCATAGCACTGATTCCCTGTGATGAAGGTCCAATGTCCAGCATCCATGTAGGATGCTTTCCAGAAATGATACACCGTTAACATACTTCTCTCGGAGATAATGCGACGATGATGCGACCGAGTTGAATGCGAAACTTTTCAGGACCATTCTACCACACTCTTGACGCTTCAAATGAGGATGGACGCAGATGCTCATTGGAACTGGCATCGACAGGAGCTATCAACTGTCCGCTTGTCATATGATTAGGTGGCAGATTAGAATCAATCCGGCGCAAAAGCAGAAGGAAAGAACGAAGATGAAAGAGGATTACAGGTAGGAAGAACTATTTACCTAGACGATTCGTCATCCTTGGTAGCGATCGAGCAAGCCGCTCAGACGCTCAGACGACTCACATTCATCCAGCGGCACAGTTCAAGAAATGTCCTCATGAGGTGATTGACAAGCTACACGATCCACCTCTATTTCCAAGGGCTTGCGTCTTCATTCTACCCTCCTGAGTTCAATATTCACCATTATGGTCAGTCCCGACGTTCCCTGCTGAGTTAGACGCCGACTAACCCCTCTTTCACCCATCAGGACCCTACGAATCCCCTCTCCGTCGCTCCTCCTCGGTACAAGTACCAGCCAAACCCGGAGACCATCGCACGTTTCCCCATGTATCGCTCCGAGTCGGATGCAGAATCGACCGACAGCCAAGCAGAGGACGAGGAACATGATCAAATCAATTCGGATGAAGGCTCGGATTTTTCTGATGAAGAGGACCGAATGCCCGATCTCTCGAAAAAGGAAACGGCGAGCTATAACGACAGTGATGCGGAAATCATGTGGCGGAGAGGGAGCGATGCGAATGCCTTGACGCAGTGTGGACATGTGGTCATCGCTGTCAACCACACTGCAGTGATTCTCTCCCAGGCTTTCGGTAATTCCTCGAAAGCGCCGGCATCTTTGCAAAAAGTTGGACATGTCGTCCTTCAGTCACCAAGGAGTTCCAAGTCGACGTCTCGAAGCAGAAAACCACGCAAAGTGTTTGCATTGTGGTCGATTATCCCTCAAGGCTCTACACCATACACCCTTCTGGCCATCCAAGTGGCCCGTATCTCGGACCGGGCGGTGTATTTCGTTGCAAAGAGACTCGTTACAGAACTTACATGCCCTACTACCAGCGCGTCAACGAAAGAAAAGGACGTCAAAATCCTCGACTCGTATATTCCGCAAACCTATGTCGACGCTACCCAAAGCTCAATGAGCTCCGATTACCCGCCTATTCGATATCTAGCTACCCGGAAAAGCCAGAAATACACGGCGGACGAGGTTGCACGGGATTCAAGCAGCAGTGAGCTGGCGAGATACGAATCGCCCAACTATGTGACGGGTATTGGTGCGGGTTTATTGACATGTCTGGTGAGCTCAGCCCCTACTCTTTCCGATTGTCTTCCTTCTGACCATACGCGTTCGAATAGATGGGGCCCAATATCAATGGTTCCTTACTTCTCCTACCGAAACCAATCGACCGCCAATCCATCATCCAGGCTATCACATCACGCTTGTCAACCTCGTCATCGGACACCAACCCAGCAGCAGAAGTCATCGGGGCTGTTCTGAAAGGAGCCGCGGTAGATGAGGAGGATCTGGCGAGTTTGACAACGGGATCAGCAACTTCTCAAAGGCAGAGAACGTCGGGACGTGGAAAAAGGGATTATGGCACTATTGGCGATGGCGGCATGTACGTGTAGCGATGTCTAGAATATACATACCTATTGGTATCGGCGTACCTTTATCTGTCTAGTGTACATGAATCCAGCAATCGCGCTGTGGATCGAAGCCATACGCATTTTTGACACAGTGTCTAGGATTGAAAACGCGGTTGCTCCCCAAAGTTACTTGTACAGTGCCTGCGCGGAAGCTCGTTCGCATGGCTCCGCAAATAAGGATTCAGTTCACCTGCAGCCTGGTAGAAGTACGCGATCACAGTCTGCAATACGCAGGCCGATTCGATTAAGCTCACCGACATACTGGTCTTATGGAGACTACTCGCGCAGTCAGCGACGTGTTGCGGAACTCGTGGCCTCCGGAAAGTGGGTCGCTAGTATCTTGCTCAATCTCACAATGCAGGACGTGTTTTCATGGTGCGACTTCTTTCTGTATCCTGCTTGACCTGAAAATAGAGGGGCAACTTATTGAGCAACGCGGATCTGTAGTCAAGACTTGATGTGGGAGTGGGGACCTGAGCCTGATGGTAGTCTAGGATCGTCCAGTATCCCTCCAGCCTCACCTTGCTCGTCACTACGATTGTGGACTACCATCAGTCTCTTCTTAGTCGCAGGTCTCGCAATATAGCAACGTACCATCTTCATCTACCCAGCAGTCCGCTTGGCCCAGACTATACTTCGCCGAGCGCTGATAGTACACCTTGACTTCTTGCAGCGTAGGTTTGAACGGTATCGTCATCTCGGCACCCGGTACTCGTCCAACAAGCTACCGCTCGAGTTTGGAAGAACATGTAAGCCTTGACGCTGAGCGGTGCAGTGGTCTTACTCTCACCTTTTCTTTCTTCCAACCAGTTCCAAAGAATCTGATGATAGGAAAGGACACCACGAGTTTAGTCTCCCAATCGCCCATATTGTCTTACCGGAATACGTTTCAAACAAACGATTCACTCCGGGATTATGGATGCCTTTCCGAGAGTGTAGGCGAGCACTACGGCTTCAATTTTGGCACTGGGTTGCGCTTCCGACCCTGACTTCATACATAAATCAACGCATTCAGGACCCAAGTGGTAACTGACAAACGTCACTGACAAAGGTATTGTCAGTGCCTCTTCTAATTGCCCTCTTACGGACGACAATACTCCCAGTCTCGTTCGCCAGCCCATTTTCCGGTTGTTTCCCTTGTAGATGATTTCCTTGCGAAGCAGCTCTCATAGCGTTTCACTTCTGAATCAAGGTAATCTCCGATCAATCAGGCAGTTATTCGGATGAACAGTCGCGCCCGAAACCGATATCATCATCATCGGAAGCGAAAGATAAAAACGAATTGTCGCCGCCGGCGTGGCGTGATTTCGGGAGACTCCCAAGACTCCCATAGTGCGGGAAAGTGGAGGTTGTACCCATTTCATTACCGGATTTCCTATATATCCTTTCAACTATTCTGGTCTCATCGTGCGGTTCATCTTGTGATAGCCTACGCCACTCCGTCTCTCAATACATCATGCTCAAATCAGCTATTCGACCAGTCGTGGCCGGATTCTCTTCCAGGCTTAGCCATGGCGTTGCCGTTCGTGCAATGGCAGCGACATCACACGCCGAACCCAATCTCTCCATCGGTGGTAGCGAAGTCCACGGATTCGTCGGAGCGATAGGCAATACCCCACTTATCCGCCTCGCAAAACTTTCCGACGAAACAGGATGCAATATTCTTGCAAAGGCGGAATTCATGTCTCCCGGTGGAAGCATCAAGGACCGAGCTGCACTGTTTTTGGTCAAGGACGCAGAGACAAAGGGGCTGCTTCAACCTGGAGGAACCGTCGTAGAAGGTACTGCAGGAAACACAGGGATTGGATTGGCACATGTCTGCCGGAGCAAAGGGTACAAGTGTGTCATTTACATGCCGGACACCCAAGTAAGTAAATGTTCCTCGAGCAATACCCTCTAGATACACACAGAGCATTGACCACGCGATCGCCTACGCAGAGTCAGGAGAAGATAGATCTCTTGAGAATGCTGGGCGCTGACGTTCGACCCGTCCCTGGTAAGCCCACGAGCCATTCCCTGCGCTAATCGCACTGCTAACGCATCCCGTGTTGCAGCCGTCGCCTTTGACAACCCCCAAAACTACAACCATCAAGCCAAACGTCATGCCGAATCACTGGAAAACGCCGTATGGACCAACCAGTTCGACAACACGGCCAACCGTGAGGCACACATCAAGACCACCGGTCCTGAAATCTGGCGTCAAACAAACGGTAAAATCGATGCATTCACATGCGCGACAGGTACAGGTGGAACGCTCGCGGGTACTGTCAGATACTTGAAGGAGATTTCAGATGGTAGAGTCAAGGGATATCTTGCAGACCCACCGGGAAGTGTGCTGTACAAGCTTGTGGAGACGGGCAAGATTGAGCGGGAAGGTACGGGTTCGATCACCGAGGGTATCGGACAGGGACGAGTCACGTCGAACCTTGCACCGGATTTGGAGTTGCTCGATGGTGCGGTTCATATACCGGATGTGGAGTCCATCAAGATGGTGTATAGGCTGTTGGATGAGGAGGGATTGTACGTTGGCGCTTCAAGTGCGTTGAACGTTGTTGCAGCAGTAGAGGTTGCAAAGAGGTTAGGCAAGGGGTCGACGGTCGTCACGATGTTGTGTGATGGAGCGTACCGGTAAGCATTCTCCACCCTTCCCACGCGTCTGCCACGTTACCCATACCCTTCCTTTCCGTAGATACCAAACCAGACTCTTCTCCCGTGTGTGGCTTCAATCGAAAAAGCTCGATTCTGCCATCCCGGATCACCTACAAAAATATGTTGTATTGCCTTAGACGCTCCCATGGCGAACCAACAAAGATGAAGTAGGATTTGCATAAATGATGGCGAGGATGGCGATCCCCGTCATTGGAGGTAACAGTCGAGGTTCACTTCCCTCGCTCGGATATCTGGGAGTTCCAAGAATTCGCTCGTATAGTGACGACATGGTCTTGAAATGAGCTACAAATCGAGAAGGTGAGGAGAGTTT